CTTTTCAAAGGATGTAAATGGTGGTTCTGATTGCCTGCATACTTAAGGAAAATTTACACCATTATGATTGGAAAAAGTTCAACTTTGATTTTTTTCCAGTGATTTCACTGGTTTTGAAAAGGTTAAAAACATCAAGATTGACTTAACTTTAGTTCAAAAATACATATAAATATATCTGGAGATAAACGGTAACCGTATATTTTATCAGTACGAAAACACTGATTAGTTTCATAGTACTTGTCCAACTAGAGCTTTATTTCTACTGGCTTGCATCATTGAAGACTTGAGTCAGAGAAGCTGGTTGACCGTCTTACATCTAACGGCGTTGGATTACTTGGACTTTCCAAGCGTGTGTGTCTACAGAACCACTTTTTTTTAAGACCAGTTGACCACAACTGATGCAAGATGGTTCTTCCTAGTAATACAACTAAGTTGAACAATGATTTAAAGTCATGTGCCTGGAATTATTTTTTATCTTTGGAATATTACAAACTGTTAATAAATGGGTGTTGGAAGCTCTATTTTTTTAAATGGGAAACTGCACCCTCTGCTTGGTATAACTCAATATAGGAAAAAACTCCAGTCCCTACTCATAGGAACCCTCAATAACTTAATGATTTTAGAAGATATCTGCGGACTTTTCAGTCTACCTGAACCAAGTGTTTAAGTTGCCAATGCTTTCTTAATTTATGTTATTATTAAATTAGAGTCACAGAATACTTGTCATAAATTAACCATTAAAATTAGAAGTGAACTTTTTGCAGTTTGTTAGTTTTGAAAAAGAACATTCAAAAATAGTGGTGGATCTATTGTATGGAACAATATTCAAGGTAACCTAGTAAGAGCATTGAGTGTGTGTTGATTGAGGTTGTATATGACCTGTAAGTGCCTGATGCTCTTATGACAGCAGATGTAACATTAAAAAAAATCAGTTTCAAGATCTGCTGATCTGCTCTCTGTTACCTTGAAGAAAACAAAGTCAAGTTTCTTCTTCCCCCCACCTCCCCACCCCTCCAAAGAAAATGAAACTAAAAGGAATAAGACAGGCTCTTTAAAAGGTCAGCCTCAATGCTATTGAAAATGAGCACAATACACGTTTACTGACAAATTACTGACGTGAAAGGCACTCTATAAATGTAATGTTGTTGTCATTGTTGTTGTTGCTCCCTCCTTTCCATTAATGAGGGGGTGCAAAAGTATCCATCATTGGCTTCTTTTTACCCAACCACACAACACAACACAATGCCCATTTACCCATTTGTGGCAACTTTTTAGAAAATTTACGATTACTTCCCCAATGACATGTAGTAATTAATGCAAAACAGTGCTGAATTTCCCAAGTTCCACTCCCACTGTACGTTGCATTCATTGATCGCAGCCAAGTAAAGATACTAGAGTTCCCACATGTTCATATGGATGTTGGGTTTAACTGTAATATTCTTTTCTCTTTTCCCCTAAGACACCCACACCCACAGAGTGTAATAGTCTGCTAGCACAAGGTCATACATGAAAATGGCCATTTGGGGGAGGAACAAGAGAGCAATTAATGTCCATAGAAACATACCCCAGCATGAGTCTATATCACAGAAAAGTGGGGAAATCCAGTAAGGTGAAACTTAAGAAACCTACTTGAATAAGGCTTCACTTCTGTGGTTTGCGACATCAATTGTGCAAGTACCTTGCAGCTTACTTTCATATCCATTATTCAACCACCAGTAAAAACATCTCTGCTGTTTTTGGTTGCGTAGAAACTTTAAACTGTTCTATATAATAGGGAGAAATTAGAAAAATAATTGGACACACTAGATTAATGTAACTGAGGAAGTACTATATTAAAAAAAGTACAATTGGGTTAATTTAGGATTGATTTCAGGTGATGCACAAGATCTCATCTGCCTTTTTTCAGATGGATCTTGAAGATCCTGGAACACTAAGGGAGTTTCTTCTGATTTCGCGAGTCATGACTATTTGTTGGACCTTGCTAATACTAGCAAATATCCCATGTGCTGGGCAACAGAAACAGGCACTACACTTGATAGTAATTACTTGTAATGTGGTTTGAGACATTTCAAGGGTTCAAATGCTATAAAAAATGACAACTTTCTACATATGAAACTACACTAGTCTTATATCTGCTACTCATTCACATTCTTGTTTTAAAAAAAATCTATGCTGTTTAGCTCTAGGCGAATCGAGGGAAAGAAAAACACATTTCAGCAGAAAATGTTCACTGTGTAGCACTTTTATTCCACTTGAATAGTTTTTTTTTACCTGTTTAAATGGGAAAGAAAAATAAGCAGAGATGGCCTGTACTGTAGCATCATGTGATTGAATAATCAATAATAGAAACAACATGGAATTTTACTCTCATCCTCTACAGAGCTGCAGACCCTTGAGTACAATGGCTTTGACAGACTGCTTATTTTGTGGTCTATTTTGGCCCAGATTTCCAATAATATAGCCATGGGCAAAAAAGCACTTTATAGAGCTATTACATTAGTTTGGAGTTTAGGGCAACCTGTACTCAGCGCTCTTAGACTTTGCTCAGATTATCTCCAGTAGCCTTCTAAAACCTGGTGGACAAGGCAGTTTTACACCACGCTTTTAATTCACATTATGTTAAATACCAACCAGGGTACTGTAATAACGGACATTATGGCATCAAAAGGAACTTTGTTTTAAATGTTTCCCAATTGGAATGTAGTAATTTTGTTTCAAAATGCCATCTTACAGATGAGGTAAACTGCAAAATCCCTGTAACTGTCCGTTAATGTCATTTCTACACAACAGTACGCTAACCTTAGCATTTGAGGAACTGATAACACTTCCTTTTTATGGGAGCATCTGATAAAACATGTGCCTTAATTATTAACAATTATTTATTTTCTCGTTATGTTTTACGAATTAGANTTTTTTTGTCCAGGGTACCTTGAGAACTACACATGTAATTTTGTAATAAACAGCACTGATTATTCTTGTCTGCACTAGTCTGAAAGGAAGTATCTCTAACCCCAAAGAATTAGGTGGAGTCTGGAAATTGCTCTGAAACAAGAGGTGCTGTTTAACGTATTTCCTTTTGTTTTTATCTCCACTCATAATAATCCTTGCATTTGACATAGCGCCTTATCACATTGTTGAGATGTCTCAAAGTGCTTCAAAGGATATACTCTAAAGTGGAGTTTCTGTGTATTTAACATACAACAACAACAACAAGATTACATTTGTATAGCACCTTTCACGTCGGGAGGACGTCCCAAGGCGCTGTGTGTTTCTATCAGAATGACAATTAATTATCTCATTGTGCGTTTCGCCCACAAGTATACAGTCAATTCACTTTACAGTATATTCTGCGAAGCGCTTTGAGACATCTATAAGATGTGAAAAGCGCTATATCAAATGCAATGATAATTATTACTATTATTGTTGAGAATTTTTCCATGGATTACAGATTTCGTCATTGCCAATTCTGTCACTTTCTGTCCAATGGAATTTGGTTTTAATGTATTTGGCGCCTGGTATTGTGTCTCTCAGTCTCATGTGATGTGATATACTGTACTGAAAAAAAGGGTTGCGAATAATGCAAGTAACAGTTCAGTGATAAACTGATACCCATGTTAGGTGCAAACGGGAGCCCAGGAAATGCTATGCATAGTGCAAGATGTTAAGAATAGATATTATAAATCAGCATTTCCTGCAATCATCGTTTGTTAAAACTGCATCCAATGGCCACAATTTGATCACAATTGGCCCTAATGTGTAGGCTTCTTCAATGAATCTGAGGGAAAAATATGAAGCAAACAGGATTTGTGAAGTCCTTTCAAAACAAGACGAAATGCATTGTATTTGTCAACAAATAATTCAGATTAAACTATTGCCAGTTAATATATCCCTAAAGGCGGACGTGACGTGTTGGGGCTTAAGATTCCTTCTGCAATTCCTTTGGTCAATATTTGTTTTCCAGAACAACCGATTTAAATATTTGGTTTGTACCAGATGCATTGCGTATGAATTTTGAAACATTACATAAAGGAGTGATTTAAGAGCAGGGAAATCCTTGGGTGGATTTGTTTGGTTATGACAATCTCATCATTTGTCTGTTTGTTTTAATCCACCTAAAGCACAATCCATAATATATACGAGATTTGATTTGGAAGCTGTTTTGGAGATTGTTTAAACGAATGGTCAGTCTAACCCCTCAACCTCTGTTAAAGCTAAATCTTCCAGATTAAGTGGAAATGGAAACAATCCAACTATAAGTTACATCAGGGTTTTCCAGGTTCATCTCAAATGAGGAAACCGATCAAACAAAATCCACTTTGTTTTAAACGTCGGGATCTCGATATGTCTGCACACTTGATATGTAATTTAATCATCACTGAACTGTTATGAAGACAAACTAAAAGTAGCTCCGCAAAGCGCTTGAAAGGTTTGCCTTTCTATGAGAGAGTCCTGGGTTTCCACTTTCGTGCATTGAGTTGCGACTCACCAAATGGCTGGCTGGAGGTGTTATTAAAAATTTAAACAGCGAAACAAAGGTGTGCTGAGCTTCTCTTCTTACATTGTCTACTCTTTCTCCAACGTATAAAAGGTATGAGCTGAGCCTCATGAATAATGCGCTATGTAATCTGCATAATACATTTTTAATAGGGCTCCAGTAACCCCTTCAAGCAATATATTTTGCAATCTTCAAGTTTCTCGATGAGATTGACAGCAAGTAGGCTGTCGTGATTCTGGATTATGATGTGTTTTGCTCCTTCTGAGATATAATTCATCAATTGCATAAACAAAATCTGGTTGTGTTCATGTATCACAGTGGTTCCTTTCCGGATAATTGTTTTCAATGCAGGTAATTAATTATTTGAACTTAAGAAAATGCACGATTTGTGAAACTTACAAGTCTTTGTAATGCACCGAGAGAGAACTTATTTTAATCAGAAAGGTGACGATGCGGATGTTTTGATTCACTTAGCGGTCGGGTTGGAAAATAAGACTGCGCGTTTAACTAAATTCTTAACTTTATTTCATACGTTGATCTTGTGAATAAATAAGGTACATGGCATATCATGTCACACACATCAAAACGTCAACAGAAAAAAAAATACAAATGTTGGAATAGTTTCGAGAGTCCTATCTGAGTTTGCTAACTTGCACACAGAATAACAACCAAATCACACTCCATTTCTTTTCAAGCTTCACTGTGCTTTTATGAATTAACTCGGTGGGGAGAGTGTTAAAGCCTACAGCATCGATCTGTAGTTTATGATGGATCAAAATAGCCACTAACTTTTAAACATAAACTTGGTCTCTGCAATCGCACAGTTCCTGATGGTGGGGGGGGGTTACAGTTTCTATTATTCAGGGCGTCTTTTAACTATATTAGATATAGTTTGCGTGTTGTTGAGATGAGGATAGATTATCGTGTATTCAAACCTCACGTTATGCAACTGTTTGAGGCTGAATGAAAGTAGAGTCTCCAATAGTAATCAGCGGATTCAGCATTACAGTGATTACAAGGAACCTGGACATTGGTGCACAGTGGGACCAGTGGACACAATAGCTTTAAAACTGCTCAGCACATCGCCGCTTTATCCATTATGTGTGTCCTGCAAAAGTCAGGGGAAAAAGAGAGTGAGCTTCGACAATTTTGTAAAGACAACAATCTGCAAAGATTCTTTTTTGCACTTCTTTTTTTAATTTAATAATAATAGAAAAGAAATAAAATGAACGCGCGCGAAGCTGTGCACCGAACCAGGTTAGGAGGTGATGCTAAAAGATTGTTATTCGATTGATTGATTTAGTTAAACGGATCGTGCGAAATTGCTGCTGCGTTTCATGGACCTTTGTGATCAATCTCTCTTCGGCCTCTGTGTGTGTGTGTTTGTGTGTGTGAATGGAAACTGTAATGTGAGCACCAAGTTAGACAAACCGGACAGCTGTTTTGTACAGGTATATTGGATGCAAAAAGCAAATTGATCCTCGCGTTGTTTCCTTTCTTTTTTTTTGTTTTGCAAGGTTTTTTTTTCAAACCACGTTTTTCAGAAAATGACCCAACTTTCCACTTCGAAGGGCTTCATTTGAAGTGCGATGGTCAAACTGTACAAGACAGTCAGTATATTAATCCCACTTATACTTGAATATGAAGTGAAACAGTTCAATGTTACTGTTTGGTTCAGAATTCATAACATACTACGTCGTCGTCCCCCCAAAAAAAAACCCAAAAGGCGTTGTTTGTTTGTTTGTTTGTTTGTATGTAAAAGGAATTAAGTTATTTTTTTTAAAATCAGAAGGCAAAGCATTGCCTGTAAACTGACTGCAGACTCGGGCTCCACAACACGTGAAATTGCGTCCCTGTGCTTCACGCGTGGCTTTGCTTTGAATACTCACAAAGTATTTAATGCAAAGTATTCTCCCTCTCCCCCCCACCCCCCCCACCCCACCCCCCGATGTGTGCTGCGGTGCTTTATCACCTCCTATTACATACCGTGCTGTGTCTCCCGGTGCCTTCGCAGGTCCACTTTCCTCTGGAACCCTTTCCCGCACAGATCGCAGCCGAACGGCTTGAAACCGGTGTGTTTGCGACTGTGTGTGATCAGATTGGAGCTCTGACTGAACGCTTTGCCGCAGACCTGGCATTTGTGAGGCTTTTCACCTGGAAAGCGTGAGAAAATACATCAGCGTCGAGCTCACTTCAAACCGGTTTCATTCATTCAAGTGACAAAAAAAAAACTGTCCAAAAAAAAAAATCAGTATTTACGGTTGTGCTGCACTTTAATGTGAAGTGAAACACATGGCGTTGTGAAGCACGAAACCCCATCCTCCGGATGATAAATTATTAAAGCACTTTCCACTAATAAAAAAAAACTGATTGACCTTCCTGCACCACACACACCTTTTGTGTGGAGCCCTCACTCTGTGTCGATGATATGATTTATTTGCGAGTCAGATCCCGTCTGGAAGTTTCGCCCCAACGCAATGTCTCCCCATCATAAAAAAAAGTTTTCTTTTTTAAAAAAATAAAGATCTAATCCACTGACATCCCCCCCCTATCCCCTTGTGTTCAACTCATCCCTCAACGCAAAATTACTGTTTTACTGGCGGGTAATTTGAGTTGAGGTACAGATTAGCTGTGGTTCGCCCACAAATATACAGTCAATTCACTTTACAGTGTGTTCTGTGAAGCGCTTTGGGACGTCCTCCCGACGTGAAAAGCGCTATATCAAATGCAAGGATTATTATTATTATTATTATCTAATTGAATCGAGAGGCTGAGTTGGTCCAGTCCTGTGCCTCTGTTGCTACCGACTCTGGTGTGAAGATAACCCCTTTTGATGAGGTGGGATGGACACTCGTCGACTGTAAACTTCCAGAGTGTACAGGAAGATTGCACGGTGATAAATGCTCGAATTAAGAGGATGTGAAAAGGCTACTCTGAAACCCCACCGGATGATTTTAACAAGAAACCGAGCAAGTCACCGCGAAGCAAACAGCACAGTGCCTTCAGGCAGAAAACCAAAAAAAGGAATCAACCAGGTTTTATCACGAGAGGCGATGTCTATCAAATTGCAAATTGTAAAAAAAATAAATACTGTCGCGTGTGTGTGTGTGTGTGTGTGTGTGTGTGTAAAAAAAACACGCGCGCAGATCAATGCATAAAATAAATGGATAAAGGTAAAATGCACCTTTGAAGGGAATGCACAGTGTTATTCGCAGACACAAAAACCAGGTGATGCGTGACCGAGTGCTCGTGTTGCAGTCGGTTATCTCGCTGGTTTATGGTTGGTTAGGTTTCGGGTTTGACGGACACTTCTCGGAAGAGAGACCTTATATAGAGTGCACCCACTCATAATGTCAAGTGTCCTCACTGGGTCACGTTAACCAAATACTCTGCATCTGGGTTTTTTTTTGAGTGCGGTGTGTGAATTTTTTTCGGAGGAAGCCACACACACACACACACACACACACACACACACACAAAAAAAAAACACGACCCCGGTTATTGCTGGTTTACGCGGGGCTTTTAATTTTAATTATGAAAATGAACCGTGTGGTTCCTACGCGATATTTCTGGGCTCCCGTGTGCGAGTCGCTGCGCTCACTCCCACCCGGGAACCCTCTCAAGTCATCCCCTCGGTTTGCCAGGACTGTGTTCATCGACTTGCGTGTCTGTTCGTGGCAAAGACTTGTCTTGTCTTTTTCCACGAAGCCCTCGCAGATTTATGTAAAGTGTGAACCGTCTATTTATTTATTTTTGGTGGGTGGTGGTGGTGGTGGTGGGGTGGGGGGTGGGGGGGGGATGTGGGGCTGTTTCATTCTCTTAGCAAGTTATATTTCCTCTTTAGATCGGAAATAAGTGATTAGGCATAACCAGGTAAGATAAATCGCTCCCCCCCCCACCCCACCCCCAGTTCCCTCGCCACCAGCCTGTTTGAGCGATATTGTCCCTTTAACAACTGCAGACAGTCAACATCTGATGAACAAACTGTGAAGTGAGTACCTGCTGACTGTGCAATGCAACCAATTGAAATATATCAGCAGATTTCACTGCACTTTACCACGAGGCCGACGTTTAAAACTGTGAATTCAGATCAACGGGTGTTCCTTTACGCCCTCGGTTTAAGAGTATAACATTGATGAATGGTTAGAGCTCCTGCTTTTTTTCCATCTGTCAGAGAGATTCTCATTCACCTGTTATTTGTCACTGGCCCTTAAATCAAGGCCATACTAATAACACCAGGCAAATCATCTTACAGCAGCCAGTGTCTCTCTGAATAAACAGTGAAGGGATCATATTAAGCGACAGTGATTGGATTGCTCCGATTCAATTATTAAACAGGCGCCGTTCGTGAAATCATTTCGAAAGGGCACCTCTCTCTCACCAGGTATTGTTCAAAAAGAGATTCAATATTAAACAGGATCGAGTTGCCGTGCAAACTGGAGAATGCAATGCACACAAACCCTCAAACGGGAAACACGAAATTGAGGATAAATAATAAATCAGCCACAAAAAGGGACGCCTTGAATTTTGGAGAGAGATCGTCTCTGTGGATGTGTGTGTGTGTGTCTTGCAAATAACACATCCATAATAAAAGTTTTGCAACAAGCACATTCACTGTTCAGCCGAGCTCTGGACATCTCAGTTCCGAATAACATTAAACCTGTATTTTCTGGCCTCTGTTTGCTCACCTGTGTGGATGAAGGTGTGCTTTTTCATGTCGGATTTCTGGTGAAATCTCTTGCCGCAGAATTGACACGGATAAGGCCTGGTGTCCGAATGGATCAACAAGTGCGTGGACAACGTGGAAGATCTCTTGAAACTTTTGCCACAGATTTTACAATCAAAACTCCTTTCCTGGAGGGGGGGGGGGGGGGGGGGGGGGGTGGAGAGACAGTTAAATTACTCTTTAAAGTGCCATATGGTTAGTGTGTTCCCTGCAGCGTGTTTTAAAGTTGAACCCTAAGTTTAACTCTTGCCAAAACACTTGATATTTGAGAACTGCTAAACAAACGGTTTGTAGATAAAAAACCCAGGTCAGAATTGTTAGAGAAAAAGAGCCATCAACCACCCCCCCCCCCCACCCACCCCACCCCACCCCACTGCTCGACTTTCAAAAGATTACATGCAATTGCTATACAATGTCACCAGGTAAACGCTTCGATGGTTCTAAAATAATTGATTTGGAAAAAAGCGTATTTTTTTTATATGTATATATATTTAAAGAAAAACGCCTGAGCTGTGCAGTGGTTTGTGTTCACGTGTTGCTACGGCAGTAATGTGCATGTTTTTGGAACCTATCCAGAAGAAATGTTTAATAGATTGGATTGGCTTCGGTGTTGTGAAAATAGCCTTTAAGCCAAGTCACTACAGTGCAGTTATTGTGGCGGGTGCAGTGACACACAGACAGACAGACAGACAGACAGACAGACAGGGCTACAGGAGTTGTTGAGGTTGTGCCGGAGTGGTGCTCTGGCTTTCGTGCTGACCTGTGAGTGCACGGCTCTGTGCTGCTCCAAACTCACTGCGTGACCAAACGTTTTGCCGCAGATTTCACAAGCGAAGGGGCGAGTCCCACTGTGGGAGCGACGCACATGGACCTCCAGCCCATGAGGAGTGGAAAACACCTGGACAGAGAGAGAGAGAGAGAGAGGGGGGGGGGGGGGGGGAGTTAGCAAAATCCAACCAAAGGAACCCCAACTGAAACATCTTGTAATAATAGTATATCAGAGATTGCTTATTGGGGGAGTGGGGCATATTACTACGCAAACGAATTCGATGCATTAAAAATAATATTTTTCTTACACCTCTGTTTGCAATTTATACAATACATCCACCGGGTATCTAACTGGAACAGGCTGTGGGATCCGAGACCCTGAGCTGCGATTCAATCTTATGTTTACTTAACGGTGTATTCCCATTCAAACACCTAACAAACGGCGAGACGTGGAAAAATAGAGACCCACAGCCGCAGTTCACTGAGGAGGCATTGTAAACTGAGACTGAAGCTCGATCACTTTGTTGTGATCTGAATGCCTTGAACCGCATTACTGGCTTGAAATCCGTTTCTATCTATTGTATTTTGTATTTCTTTATAATGCAGGGCGACCAAAAAAGTCGTGACAGCATCACGGTGTCTGGTAAGTCTTAAAGAAATGATGAAGAACTAATGCAATTATTATTAAAGTAAACGGTATCGCCACTTTTTTGCTCACCGTGTGCAAAGTTCAACATACTAAAGGACTAACTCCATAAAGTGGTTAACAGCTGGTTAGTAACAAACAAAATCAACTCAGCTCAGATTGAATTGATATGAAAGTTATTTTGGACTTTTGGACTTTTTAATACCTGAAAATTCCATCCATGAATATATTACAACATATTACCACCACAACAAATTGCATTTATATAGTACCTTTCACGTAGAGAGGCACTGGACAGTTTGCACCAGAACTGGAGGGGTGGGGTGGGAGAATGATTGAAGACATGCTCAAAGAGGAAGGTCTTGAGATGGGCCTTCAAGTAGGCAGAGCAGAGGGAGCGGGCAAGTTGGTAAGGATTTAGTAGGTCACAGATGTAAGGAGGAGCAAGACTGCGGAGGGCTTTGAAGGTGATCTTACACTTGATCCTCTGGAGGATGGGGAGCCAGTGAAGCCAGGCAAGGATGGGGGTAATTCTGCATGTTATCACCCTTCAGGCACCAGATGTTTCATGGGTACAAGAGGCAAGCCTTCTAGTACACAACATATTTCCAAATAAATCATGTCCTTGTGTGTGGGGGAAGACCAGTAGCTTAATTGTGTGCACAAAATATACAATCAACTCACTTTGCAGTATATTCTGTGAAAGCCTTTGAGACATCTCGAAGATGCAAGGATTATTATAATTATTATTTGAGCCATGGCACTTTATCACAAGTGCCACAGATGCTGGGATGGTCCCGCCTCCCAATAGAGTTCCCTTTCGCTCATTGGACACCAAAGAGGAGGAGGAGCAGTATTGAAACCCCACCATTGGCAACTACCATTGGCAGCTGGAACATCTGGGAAAGAAGAGTGATGGGCATCCACTGGAGGATTCCTGTTTTTTTTCCCATTGCACTTTTATGCACTTCCGTGCTCAGGAAATAATAATAATAATAATAATCCTTGCATTTGATATAGCGCTTTTCACGTCGGGAGGACGTCCCAAAGCGCTTCACAGAACACACTGTAAAGTGAATTGACTGTATATTTGTGGGCGAACGCGGCAGCCAATTGCGCACAGCAATGTCCCACAAACAGTCGTAGATTGAAAATGAACAATTTATTATTGTTTTTGGTTTTGGAGGGATTATTATTAGGCTCTGTGTGGAGTAAGGAAACTTGCCCAAGGTTTCGCCCTCTGCCTGGAATTGAACCCAGGTCTCTCACTTGCAAAGTGAGTGCTCTAACCACTGAGCTACAGGACTCCATGGAAACTGGATTTGTGCATAACAAATGCACAATTAAGGCGGGTCTCAAGACCTTTCTCTTTGACCGTGCCTTCAGCTCCCCTCTCGACTCTCTACCCCCTCCTCGCTCCCTCCCTTCCCTCCCCCTGACCATTTCCCCCACTGCTCGGGTCCTGACCCAACTGTCCAGCGCCTTGGGACGTCCTCCCGACGTGAAAGGCGCTCTATAAATGAAATCTTGTTGTTGTTCGCTGATTTTGCCGTCATATTTCAAAAATTATACATGTTGTTGTCCCTTTGCATCTATACTGTGTGACTAGCCTGTTATTTGCTACAGCACAGCAAAGACCTGGACTACTAATGCAGGTAATAGAAACTAGTGCAACGAGAGAGCTACAAAAATGTTCAATTGTTACTTCACACAGACCTATACAACAGGTTTCCAGTACTCGTAAAACAGGAAGTCAATGCATTTGCCCAATAACCCTTCGCAATCGTTGCTTGCAAAAGAAGATTGGTAATATTGTATATTATTGTTGCAAGATTAAAAAAAGGTGATTCGATACTGGACAGCAATTCATGCTGCAATCCATTAAGGGAATCCCAAAGATGACAACTGAGTAAAATCCTTAGCAACGTGTGACCATATCCAAAATCTCAAAATGAGATTATTGTCTGGAACTCGGTCAAAATATTACAGAAATTGCAACACTGCCTCATAAACCCGAGCTGTTGTCTGCGAGTTAACCACACGACCAACGACAACATTACCTCTGTAAAGTGCCTCTCTTTGTGTGTGTGTGGGGGGGGGGGAGGATATCCCACACTCCACACCTTCCCAAATGCGTGGGTATCCAGGTGGTGGTGTGGGAGGGGGGTGGGGTGGTGGGGGTGGGGGGGGGGGGGGTGTGGTGAGGCCAACGTTTGCACGAAGCACCTATTTACCACATTGTGGGGTGGGACACCTCTCACACCGTCAGGGCTGCGGGACACTTCCCAATCGACCAGACGTTTTGTTTTTTCCAAGACAGAGAGAGAGAGAGAGAGGAGGAGGAGGAGGAGGAAGTTATATAAATGCAAGTTGTTGTTTTGAAGGAGAGGGGGTGGGGGGGATGAAAGAGGACTGGTGGAAGCAGGACGCTACCTTGCTGCATTTGATGCACTTGTAAGAGGCGTTGTTGAGCAGCAGCCGAGTGCAGAGGAGCTCCGACTCTGCCTTGAGGTCGTTGCTTTTCTGGTGAAGACCGCGTTCGCTGTAGAGGGCGGAGGCGGAGGAGCCGCGTTCGGGGTAGTGTCCCGGGGGGGCGGCGCCGGAGTCGGTGTAGACGCCAGAGGTGGCACCGCGCTCGGGGTAGAGGGCGGCGGCGGAGCTGCTGCGCTCGATGTACAGGGCCGGGCTGCGGTCCGCAGCCGAGGAGCGGAAATTCTGCACCAGGTACTTCAGCTCAGATCCCGCATAAGCGCTCCATCCGAACTGCTTGAAAGGCAAAGCGAACGGGTGGTTCTCCTCCACGGATGGAGAGAGGGATTTCTCGGAGGCTTAAGACAAGAGAGAGAGAGAGAGAGAGAGAGAGAGAAAAACACACACACTATGTTATGCAATCCATTAATCACCTGAAAATAACCACACACCCCCCCACCAAAAAAAAAATAATCAGAGCTCGGTCTGGAAATCACGCGTGTTTTTTTTAGAAGAGAAAGAGAGAGAAAAAAAACTATTTCCTGCTGATGTGTACAAGTGAAACATCACTTGCTGATTAGGTGTCCCAAAGTGTCTCAATAATCCCAAAGGTGTTTTTTTTTGTGTGTGTGTGTGTGTGTGACATAGAAATGCTTCCAGAGTTTAGAAAACCTGACAGCAAAAGGGCTCTAAATTCAGTTGTGAACTCACTTAAAGTACCATAGAGAGAGAGAGAGAGAGAGAGAGAGGGGGGGGGGGGGTAATTGCAAGGTCAAACATAGTGGCCAACAACCACTGTGCGTGTGTGTGTGTTTTTTTAGTTTTAAAAAGAAATGTGCGTTTATTTTTAAGTATCTGCGGCGAATAAGACCGTTTGGGGATTGATTTAACGAAGCCATCGATCCGACTGTCCCATCCACTGCCTCCTTTCCTCCACGTGTGCCAAGTGAGTGCACAGAGAGAGAGGAGAGAGGAGAGAGAGAGAGGAGAGAGAGAGAGAGAGGAGCTCACCTGGCGAGGCAGAGGGGGAAGGGGGTCTCCAGAAGTCCTCATACTCGGCATCTCTGCCGCAGACGCTGCCCCCGCAGCTGGTGGGGGACTCGGGCTCCTCGGTTGCCCCCACCAGGTGCGATTCAGGTGAAAATCCTCCTTTGGAGTCCAGACTCGGCACATCCGAGCCCTCTGACACTCTGCTCTCTGCAATCACAGCAAAGGGGGAAAAAAAAGTCCAGGGCCGTTTGTTTATTAAACCAGAATATATTGTATTATTTTTTTGGGGGGCAGTCTTTGCTATAATCAGGCGGTTCACTAAAAGGGGTGGGGGGGGGGGGTGGGGGGTGGGGGGAGGGGGTGGGATGGATCCATGCAGTTGTATCTCAGTCACCTTTGGCGGAGCTCCACCGAGTCTGACTGTGGTCTCACTACTTGGACCCCAAAGTGTCTCGTTTTAATTTCAGGGCAGATTTTCACAGTACATAAAACCCGAGAAACCCCCCCCAAAAAAAAAAATAATTAAAAAGTGTGAGCCCAGAAAAAAAAAGAATGTCAAATACTGAAGGAAATGTTGCAGACCGTGAAAATTACACGGACACCGTGTGATGGGATTATGATCGCGATTTGACTTCCCGAGGAAGCGACCCGGCAGCTCATTCCCATGGTTTAAGTTGCAAAAAAAAAAACAGCTGGTTTTAGGGAATTGTAAAGGGTCAAATATGTCACAGACTGTTCGAGGTGAGGCCACCGACACATGTTCACCAAACGAATTAAAATCCACGTCGGTTGCGCAATATTCCCGACAGTATTATTAATTATTCTTCCAAATTCAAGAGAAGGGGAGCGGGGGGGAGAATAATAAAAAAAATACACCAAAGGACACGTTTTTTATAACGAGATCGATTCTGGGCTGAGCGTTTTGGGGTTTTTGTGTGTGTGTGTGTGTGTGTGTGTGTTGCACGTAGCAGCAGAAATGAATCATTTCCTTTACTCGCGAATGGATCCCCACCGCCGTGGTTACCTGAACAGATATGCGCTAAGATGTTTTCCAGTCTGTTGTTGTAGTCATCCTCGATGGCTCTGTGCTGGTGGTAACTGTGAGCTTTCTTGCTCTTCACAAGGAACGAGCGGGGCATCTTGTAGCCTCAGTCGGTGGGACAGGTTCTAAGGTGCAACTGCGTTTCGGTTTGGAGGAAAATCAGTTTCAGCAGCGATTGAATCTTTTTTTTTTGTGGAGGAGGTGGGGGGGAGTGGGAGTGGAGTCCTCGATTGGAGCCCCTGTGGGGGTGACACACCATTGGTTAGATGTACAGTGGTTTTTGTTTGGCTTCACTGGACGCAGGCGCAAGGCAAGTGCATCGTTTACCAGGTGTTGTTGTGCCAGGTGGCACAACACAAACCCACCAGTGCATAACCCATTGGCCGACTCACAACTCACCGCCCCTCGAATTAATCTGGGCTCTCCATCTTTCCTTCCCCTCCACTGGGAAATCAAACTGACAGCAATCGGGATAAGTGACACTATTATTTCACTCTGTTACACAATACTCCGTGAACGCTATGATCCTCGAAATCGAGCTGTACTCATCCTGTCGTACGCAGAAAGATGGAGAGTTTACCAAGTGCCATTGTAAAACAGACTATATGTATATATAGTTTCAGCTACACTGTTATTACTTAATAACTGCTGAAGATGATGCATTTTTGAGGTCCCTGTGAATTTGCTAATAAACCGAGCATTTGCAACGCACATTATCTGAGTCAAGTGGATTCCGAAACAGTTGTGGTTTCATCCACAGAGAGTGCAGCAGTAAACTGGAGTTGAATAGTTATCTTATTGCATTTTAGTGGATCATCGGTATCCAAGTAGGAATTGCTTTTAATCACCGATGCCACATTTCGTTCAAATAAAACGATTTTGATTCTAGTTTCGGTAAATTCTAGGAAATATCGTTTTATTTGCTGTTCCTTTTTAAATATATATATATATATATTCTGATGGAAACAATCACGTTGGCAGTTCTTAGAATTTCTTGTGGTTCAAAATAATCCCAGAGAGGTTCGCTCGCACACGGTCTTTGTGTGAAAGATGTGCAGTTTGGGGGGGAGATAATAAAATGAATCAGGGGAGCGAGCAGTGCTGCCCAAGAGTGTGTGCACAGACACCTACTGCCCTCTGGACATGCTGCATGGGTTTGTTTGACCTGAGGTATTGCTACACATTTGTATTTTACACAGTTAGAAGTCACATTCCACTTCGAAAATCTTTTGGCACATTTTCCCACCAAGAACAGCGACACTGAGCTCTAAGCTCTGAAAGGTGACGTTCACCTGTTATTATTTGGATAACACAAGTGCAGTCATATTCATGTGCAGAAATAGATAGTATTATTAATGTGCACAAATGGATGAAGAACGTCGATACCGTCCAACTCCTTCTTAAGCTTCTGTATAATGAATGAACTCTCTTCGGGGGGCCTGTTACCTTCTACTTTTCCACCTAAACAATTAATGGCGAATGAAGGACAATAAACTCCAGTCTTATCTGAAAAAAAACATGGGGTGGACAATCGTTCAAACCAATTTTATATGTCGATTACTTATTAACACAGTTAGATCAGACCTCTGGGTGCTCAGATTACATACGGTTTGTTTTTTTTAGGGGGAGGGAGGGGGGGGGGGCGACACTCTGTAAATAATTTAGCATCTTAAGAAAGAAAGGATCAGTGGGAAATGCACGCCTGTTTGGAGTACACACTCGTGAACATTTCATGCAGGTATAAAACCAGGCAGCATTGAACTCGTGGGAGACCGTCTCCTCTCAACACCTGTCTTTGAAATACCGCACATCCAACCTTCAGAAGCATTCAGCCTTTTCCCAAACGTGAAGCAAAACAAAATCAAGGCAATTGGATAAACAGGTTGACACACAATCCTCGTACGCTCTCAGCCCGATTGGCTTTGGTATGGATAAGAACGAGGTGTCAACAGAGTGGTTTTGTCAACAAGTCGAACTGTATGTTTTAAGGGATTGGGTTGAGGGGGGTTTGTTGTGGTTTCCTGGGTAGAAATGAATGTTACTGCAAAGAGGGGAGGGGGAGGGGGTTCCTTACCCCACCACAAGCAGCTAAAGCGACGGAAATAGCAGCACTGTACAATCCCGCACTCGTCCAGCGGAGGCCTGACCTGACCCCCAGTCTATTCCGCTGTGAGCCACGCTGCTTCCTGCAGATCTCCATTGCATTGGTTTTAAATAAAATAATCCCCCCCCCAAAACAAGACAGGATTGCTCAGAGCCTCAGTCCCCATAGCGCTGGAGCTGCCAAAGGTCCTGGTCTCACAGAACGAACAGGCAGGTGTTTCATGATAACTTATTTTACTTTTTTTTAACTACTGTGTATGAGACATTGGACGAATAGCGACTACCAACTGCATCTCTCTCTCTCTCTCTCTCTGTCTCTCTCTGTCTCGCTTTAGTGTAATTATACCCCCCCCCCCCACCCCACCACCACCCCACCACCAACCCTTCTCTTTCAACGATAAAATCCCAGGAGGTGACCGAAAACACAGTGGAAGAGGCAATCCTGCAGTTTGCCAACGTGATTCGAAAGCTCAATCTGAATTTTGACTCCCAGCAGCAAATAAAATAAAAAAAATCAGCACAGCTCTATCTGTGTCCAATCCAGTCAATTCCCGCTGCATGTGAGAAACCCTGACCCTTTCGTTTTAAATGTGACCAATAAATGCGGGATGTGTAATACGTGCCAACACATCTGCCAGTCACTACAATCATTCAAAAGGAGTCGGACACATAACATGTCCGACCCCCTAAATAAATCAGACGCCAGAATGCAACACACATCACCGCAGTTTGGAAAGGAAATAAGGTGGTAGATAGAGCTCGATAATACAGGGTTTGGGGGTTTCATAAAAATAGGAAAATGTTGATTTGATTTCGAGAACGACGAGGAGTCGCACCGCCACAGACATCTGAACTATTGAACTCCCCATTTTCGTGAATTTGAATAAAAATCCCCTCTGCTCGGCTTGTGACTGAAAATGCATCCGATGCTGCAGTTTCAATACCCCGAGATTAGACGAGCAGAGAGTCACAGCGGGGATTAAACACGCCGCAAAGAACTGGTGCACAGAAAGAAGCTAACCAGGAATTGCTTTGCACCGACACCATAACTAACGGGTGTCCAGACTGGGACACAGCCATTTGGGACACTCCTCGACTCCCAGGAAGCAGGACGTTGCCTCTGGTTTAAGTGAGTGTCGTTTCTCACTCCCTGCAACGAGTGAGGAAGAAGGGTTATTTGCAGCAGATCGATTTCCCCAATGCTTTCACGGAAACGACTTGCCCGACTCACCCCGACCCTACACGTTTGCACCCAGGTTTCCGACCAGGGGTTTAATTATTTGACGCGTTGATCGGTTTTATAAGCGAGCGCAGCAGATCTTTGCTGGGAGGAAATAACACCGATCCGGACGCCAAAGGTTTGGCAAACCAACCGGTTGCTGGATCTCGTGATAACGAACAGAAAGTAAATGCAACATGAGTTTGGCGCACATGTGCAGCGCGCACCCAAACACCAGCTGAACACACACACACACACACACACACGGGGAGAGAGAGGGGATCAACAGGAATATAACCATTACTGGGCTCGGCGTTTACCCCCACTTACATTTTTAATGCGATTAGAAAAGAGAGGGATAGAGAGAGAGAGAGAAAGAGAGAGAGAGAGGATGCCTTACCGATGCACATCAGTGGGAGTCTGCGCTGGGCAGAGCCATTGGGAGGGAACGCGCGTCTCCAACACCAGCGATGCTCAGGGATAACGATGGGGTAAGAATCCGAACAGATCCGCCGCTCCTCCGCACCATCACACGGCCACCAGCGAAATCCGAATGGTTCCGACGAAGGGGGTTCGGGGGAAAACGACGCGCAAAGTGGAACTGAACGGCTTTGTGTAACTCCCAACAGTTCAGCCCTGAAACCACAAGGCACTTCCTGTGCGTTTGAAAGAACCCAAAGCAACAGAGAGCAGAGGCTGACAGTGAGCGAAGCGGAGTGGGTTCACACCCCAACACAACTAACCGAACACGTCCAGGGCAATCCATGTTGAAATATGGTCCCCGATGCAATAACCCCCTCACTCCCCGGCACCTGTGTGTGTGTGTGTGTGTGTGTGTGTTGTTGTGCGTGTGTTTGCTTTATTGGTTAACTCGAGGTCCCCAAGTGACTCCAACACACTGTGAGCTGAGCTATTCTCGGATCCCAAGAACTTCCGCATCAAGAGGGAGATTCGAGACACAGATTTCTTTGACATATATCCCCCCCCCCCAAAAATAAAATAAATAAAATAATGATTTTAAAACGGTTGGGACATTTGCACTTCACACCTTGCACTTTACTGCGGACACTCAGCATCACTGCTGATGGGTTGGGTATCACAGGGATGATTTCTCTCAGCAGCAAAGGCTTTGGGTCAAAACTGGGAGCTTTCTACACCGAGAATTTAAATTTAAATCTAAATTCGTTTTGAATTCGGCTTTTTTTGTTTTTCGCGGTGGTTCTCCCCACTCATCTATTTTCTTTTCACAGCATTTCCGCCCATTTTTTTTTTTTTTTTTTTTTTCTTTTTTTTTCTTTGAATAAATTGCTCTGCTCGACGTCTCGTTGCAGTTCAAATGCAATCAGTGAGGGCCACAGCAAATCATAACACCCCCGCGTTGTAGTTGTTAAATTCAGCTCTGATACCCAGACTTATTTACGTACTAAATGCAATCTTTAAAAGGGGGGGCGGGGAGGAGGTGGCAAGTGGGAAAACGTGGTCCTTTTAGTGGAAATTGCTAATTTAAGCAAATGTATTGCTGGGCAGCTACAGTACATCCTCCTCTATCTATGTTGTTGTGTAGGAAGGGCCGATGGGGTGATCAAATGTCAGTTTCAGTTTGGTGTTAACTAGAACTATTTTTGGAGACTGTTACCATCCAGAGAGCAACTTATTCCAAATTTAGTGTCAAGTCCACCCCCCCCCCCATCCCATTCCACTTAGAGCTGCATCTTTGGAGGACCCGAAACTAATCTATTGGATGCAATTCATTCTCGTCAGAGTGAACTGAGTTTGCTCTTAAGATCCCAAAAGACAAACCTGATTGGGTTCGACGAAAGGACATCATACCGTACGATTTCTAAGAACGCCCACATGTGTTTTCAGGTGTGAGGTTGTGACACCAGGTAAAGAGGGAATGGTTGAAGGTAGGATTGTAGGTTGGCAAAAAAAAAAGGAATGATGAAAGGGAATTAAAGAAATCGACGTTTACAGGGAGTGGGGCAGTTGCTGTGCCAATAAAAAAAAATGACCTTGTATTTTTGAGTACATTTCAGTTATTTACCTGAGCTAAATGCACTGATATGGAGTATGCAATTGAACTTTTGCAGGGTGCTCAATGAGCAGCTCTGATTTCTCATAGGTGTCTTGCTACCAAACATCTCACAGCCATGCACCGCCAGACTTGCAGCTGCTGAATCTATATCATTTCCTCTCGCAGTTGTAACGAACTGTTCACACGCTTTGTAGGGGTTTGTAGACTTGGAGTTGCTACTGGTGTCTGTTTCAGCGAATATATTAGCAGGGAGCTCGTTTGGTGATTCTCCCTCCCCCCAAAAAGCAAAGAGATGCCCTTGCATTAAATGTGCATTTAAATAGTAACCACAGTATTTATGTAGGGCAAGAATCAGGAGGCAGTCACACTTCCCTGTTATCACCTTCCGAACGATAGGACATATCACAAAATATATCTCTTCAAGTTAACTGGGGGGACAGTTTTTTATATTAAAAAAAGTCACCCTTCCTTCTAATAAGTTCTGTTCCTCTGCATTGTGCACGAGTAAAGAAAGCTCTTTTCCAAATCGTTTGGAGTGGATCTTGTAAGGCCCAAATGAACTAACTGGAACATTTTAACAACAACTTGGATTTATATAGCGCCCTCCACCCCGGATGGTGTCTCAGAGCGCTTCACACTAACGGATCGCGGGGCCGAGCCGGGGAGAGGGGGAGGAAGGTGACCAAAGGCGCGGTCAAAAAAAAAGGTCTTCAACAGAGACCTGAAAATAGGAAGGGAGGAAGCGAGACGAAGGGAGTCAGGAAGGGAATCCCAGAGCCTTGGGGCATAGCGGCTGAAAGCATGGCCGCCGAGGGTGGGGCGCAGGACTCGGGGGACTAGGAGGAGGCCAGACTCGGAGGAACGAAGGCAACGGGAACTGTTTTGAGGAGAGAGGAGGTCAGAGAGGTAGGGGGGGTGCAGAGGAGTGCAGGGATTTGAATACAAGGGTGAGGATCTTGAAATCGATCCTCTCTGGAATAGGCAGCCAGTGCAGTCTGGCAAGGACCGGGGTGATCGGGGAGCGGAGTTTCGTGTGGGTGAGAATGCGGGCGGTAAAGTTTTGAATGATTTGGATTTTATGGATGGTAGTGGAGGGGAGACTGGCGAGGAGGGTGTTAGAGTAGTCCAGCCGAGAGGTGACAAAGGCACGGACCAGGGTTTCAGCGGCTTTTGGGGAGAAGTATTGGTGGAGACGGGCGATGCGTCGGAGGTGGAAGGAAGCGGTGCTGGTGAGGGACCGGATGTGGGAGAGGAAGGATAATTGGGGGTCAAACCTGATGCCTAGGTTGCATACGGGTTCGGAGAGTTTTAGGGGGAGGTCGGGCAGGTAGAGGAGGTGAGAGTCATGAGATTTTAGATGTTGACGAGAGTCAAAGAGTATGGCTTCCATCTTGTCAACGTTGAGCTGAAGGAAATTTGCGCTCATCCAGCCCCTGAGATCTGACAGGCAGCTGACAGAACATGAGGGGACTGGGGATTGCAAAGAGAGGTGGAAAAATAGAGTTGGGTGTTGTCTGCATACATGTGGTCGTGTACGCCATGTCTGCGGATGACATCCCCAAGAGGGAGCACATAGATCAGAAAGAGGAGGGGGCCAAGGATGGATCCTTGGGGTACCCTGCAGGTGATCGGGTGAGAGCGGGAGGAGAAGCCGTTTGTGCAGATGTACTGCTGGCGGTTTGTGAGGTAGGACTCGAACCAGACGAGTGCGGTCCCACTGAGGTGCATGACAGAGGAAAGGCGGTGGAGGAGGATGGCGTGATCGACTGTGTCGAACGCGGCGGAGAGGTCCAGGAGGACAAGGAGGCAGAGGGACTTTAACTTCTATAACAGCCCCAAAAGCATTTCATTTAGAAACAACAGGATCTGTTATCTATTTCTGTTATTAACACAAAGGATAGCATTGTTTATTTTTGTTAATAACAGAACAGAATTCTGTTATTCTGGTTAAATGTTGATTAGGGTGTAAATCAAGTAACATTTGGTAAGCGAATGGTATGTAAACAGTAATTAATACTGCCACACCAGCGTCACTGTATTAATATTGAAAGTCTAGGTTCATAGAAATTACAGCAACAGACAGAGGGACCTGAAACTCGTACCCATCCACTGGAAACTAACCAATCTAATCCCAATTACCTGCTCTTTCATTCGCTGCACCCTTTTTATGTACAGTATATTCCTTCTCTTCAAATGGCTACCGATATGAATCACAGAATCATCAAATTCCTCAGTAATGGTGTACTTCAGCATCACTTCAAAATCTCAATGTTTACACTTATTTCTATCCGGTCCAGTGACAGTTTCTTCTTGTAGCACACAAAGGACCCTCTTCATTCTCATATAAATACGTCAGGCATTGAATATAATCTTCTATTGCAGTTTTCACATTGAGGGCGCAAAATAAATGTGGCATTGCCAAATTACAGTACAAAAGAATTCGCGATCACAATGAACCTAACGCATTTGGATTGAGAATGTTGCATTTTCGAGTCATCGCAGATTTCATTGGAAAAAACAAGATAACACTCTGAATGAAATGACCTGAAGGTTTAAAACAATATGAGTAATTGAATGTCAGCCTTATTTCTCACCAACACCTCCCTCTCCCCCGCCACACACAATATATTGCGAGGTTCCTTGAAATAAACAGTTATTTTTTTCCAGAGGTACACATTTATCAATATTTTAGTATTTTTATTTTCTTGCAAAACTATTCAGAATTCCAAGGTGGTGTTTGTACGGCCCCTCAAACTTTTCTCAAACCTCCACGGAGTTAACCGTACACATAATCCTTTATGCTTTTCAACACTGAATGGAGGGACAAACTGTAAAATAAATCGCTTTGGTATCAAATATCCAGTCGTTCAATACTCGATTTGTAACACGTGCTTTAATATTGTTGATTTTTTTTAAAAAAAACGTATATAAGCGACAATCTGTAAGAAATATATAGTGCGACATTAAAGTGCAGCACAATTGCCATCCTTTCAGGGAGCCTATAGCCTTACTGTCAGAAAACATGCTGATAATCTGGTAAGAACAGTCTGCTGGAAGTTGATTACTAAACGAGTCTGTGTTGCAATTGATAAATAAGGATGTTACGCAAGGACAACTGTAATAGATAAACGCTTTCGGGGAAGGGGGGGTAAAACAACCCAAATTTGTGAGGTGGGATCACACAATTCTGACATCTGATCAAACCCAATTATGTTTTTATTATTGCAAACTGATAACACGAGGTTAGTTGCAGGCCTAACTTTGTAAAATATCGTCGATTAGGTTCGTAGGTTTAAGGTCAGCAGGTTTGCCCTGTATTACACTGCAAGAAACCCAATTATATTGCATTACATTAAGGTGCTCCAGTGTGGAGCATTGTATCAGTACCACTGGGGTCCGTTTCCTCATCAGGTTCTTGAGCAGTTGCAGCCCCTTTTAGAAAGAAAATAAAAGGATTATTTTATGTGCACTTTCTAACGATTAGCTCTCGAGTCAGGGTTTAGCTAAAAATCTAAAAATACCCCCCCCCCACCCCCAAAAAAATAAATAATCTTACAATGAATGGAAATAAATGATTTTTTGTGCAAGTCGAAGAGATCGCCAGGTATCCAATGTCAGTGAAAGGTGGGAAGAGAAGCTTAATTCACTCAAAGGTAAAATGGGACGCAAGTTTAATGGAGTATTACACAATGTGGATTACCATTGGTTATATTTTACTAAATCCTGATGCTAACGTGGTGTGAAAACGTACCGCACAGAAAAGCATTGAGTGAGTAAGGGGGGAACATTCTCTTACCGATGTTTTTAATGCAATTGCTTAGTTAAAGCAGATTGTACACCAAAAAAAAAAAAAAAAAAAAATTGCAGTATTTTCCTCTGCTCTCTCTTGCAGTTCAAATTCCCCGACCAGTCGGAAACTGGTGTGTTGTGCGAATGTGAGCTCATTGAGACCCTTTCTCTTTGTTTCTGATTTTGTCTCCGTCCCTCTTTCCATTGAATTCAGAAGCATCGTGACTCACACAGAGCTTTTGACTACAAGAGGTTCAAACAGTTTTCAACAGTTGGACGGTTGCATCACCATTCGATCTTTTTCACCATTTCTGGTGATGCAATTCCTCAACCATGTCAGGAGCTGAAACCCAGAACTGTGTAAGGACACTTCAAACTCGGATGTTCGGAATAATAAAACATTCCGCTAACGTTAATTAATACGCCGATCCCTCAACTATCCTGAGGAGCAATGGATCATCTTTGGCGTTTTTTGGGGGAGAATTTACAAAGTTTGCTCCATGCTTCCACTCACTTCGTCAATTTTCACTTCCACAATCTTTTCTTTAAGGAAAATAAGTTCCTGTAACACTCTCATCTGAACTTAAGAGACCCAGACTCCCAACTTAATTCTTCCCAAACATTGTTCTTCCCTGGACCCTCTGTAATGGGTGAATGTAATTTTGAAGTTCACCAAATGTGGCTTCACCAATGAGCCCTACAAGGCTCAAATAGCGATTGGCTACATGTAGTGAAATGCCTTCCAGATGCACCCCAGTATATATATATATACATACACATATATGTGATGATATATAAGATGATGGCAGTGTCATATTGAATTGGAACCTTGGATGACCACATACAAATCNTTTTTTTTTCTCCACCAAATTCACCCCCTGTTTTCTTGTTCACAGGTTTACTGCTTTCTGTTCCAATACGCAAAGAGACAGATGTAAATACCAGGCAAAAGCCCAGAACATGTGTGGAAACCAGTTATACAGATAGGTGTTTTGCAGTCATTCTTGTCCAAATACTGCATGTGCTGATTGAAGTGAAACCTGACGTAAGAAATAAATAAATGGAGTGGATGGGATTGAAAAGCACATCAGTAAACGTTCATTAATTCTCAACTGTTCTTAAAATGTCATCTTTTTCGGCTAACCCCACGAGGACAACTAATCAACACATTTGGGATGATTTAATCGGTTTAATATATTTCCATTCCGAGACCTGCAAAATGCCCAGTGAATCTGTTAGAGTCTGAAACAAGGTAATAATAATAATAATAATGTCATTAAGAAAAACATGTTCCTTCGGATAAATCTCTCCTTTTTTAATCTGCAGCAGCAAATTACGTTCCTTCCCGAACATTGGCCACTTGTTTCCAGATGTACCCTTTTAAATATGTTTCTCTCTGTTGTTCCGGGATCGAGTACAATGTTTTACAGTATTCTAGCATTATTGATGAATTTCTGTGGGGGTTTTTTTTTACCACTTAAATATACACAAATTCTGCGCAACAAAGGAAAAGATAAGGAGACCTCAACGCACCAGTCTTGGGTCTGATATGCATTTTTTTTGTAAGATGAGCAGCTTTATACACATATCATTGTCAAACATGTTCTCCTTACGTTTGACAGTGATACGTGTATGAATGCGTGACCTCTTCCCCCAGACTCTCTGATAAAATAGTAACTTACCATTAACAATAAGTATTGCACAGCTGGAGGGCAAGATGTCACTGGTTGAGTTGCAAGTGGCAATTTGGGGACACCAATAAGTATTTCGAGGCAATAAACAGCTGAAACGTTTCACTAGAAAAGGAGAATTTATAAATATATTTCTTATAAATTTATAGAATTTATAAGAAATAGCTTGATGCTGCAATGCGAAGATCTGGAAAGGGTGAGAGCAAATGGGCTGAAGAGCTTTCTGCATCTGAACCTCTGGTGATCTTGTATCAGAAGACATGTCTTTATAATGCTTTTGTTTAGTATAACAGCTTTTTGCTGTATGGAAAAAAAACAGTGAAGATTGTTGTAGCTCTCCAGCAAATATTCAATGTCCACTTCGCACAGAAAATCTTCGTAAGATTTGTTTTAAGAAGTCGGTTAGGTTTCACAATTAATAAGCATTCTATTGGCAAGCACTATGTGCAGCTCAAATAATTAGGTACATCCATGCACAATGAATCAGATAAAAGTTATACTTAATTTATTTAAAAACTGGATTGGAAATATATTCTAAGAAGAAATATCCCCATCTTTAAGGATATATATATATATATCATTTTAAAATTTTATATTCTCACTACCTGCAAGTAACAGAACAAACTAAAATAGAGAGAATTTTTTAAAACTTCTTTACTGGAAAGTCCCAAGACAAGGTTTATTTAGGTGTGCACAACTCACAAAACATTATAATCTGAGATTCTATGCTTTCTGACTCAAAAAGAAGCATCAGTGTTATTTATAATGCAGTAAATACCGGAAAGCAGTTCCTCAGTATCCCTCCCTTCCTGACAAGACACCCACACTACTTTACACATTCACACACCAATTGTACAATGGTTTAATCTTACTTCAACAGCTCGATCTTCAGAGGTTTCCATGTTGAAAATCGCAATAGGGCAACACAGGAACCTCTAAAAGTCATTGCAAATTATTTTAAAATTAATGCAGATAAACAGATTAATGTTCACTTAAAATGTTGATTATTCTGTAAAGCACCACACCACTTCAAGCATATACATTAAGATACAAAATCATGTTGATCACGATTATTAGTGAAAAATTCACTTTACCGTATATTTTGTGAAGTGTTTTGAGACGTCTCGAAGATGCAAATGAGGCACTATGTCAAATGCAAGGATTATTATTATTTTTATTAAAAGATAGTGGAATATGATTGGAAAGACACTTTCTTCAGGAGAATTAATAGGAGTAGTCACTCTAGGTGATTCACATGTACCTCCTCGAGATCAATAGAATATTCTATTTATCCTTGGAGAGCCCGTTCTGCAATTCATCTGCACATTTTATTGATGTGGCAAAGATGTGTGAGCCAGAGATATGAAGAAAGGCAGAAACAGGTTACCAGGTTCATTTTTTCTATACATTTTGGTAAATAAACAACTCTAAAGGGGAAGGAATTACAGTCTTCAGGAGACATCAGGATCCAGGAACACCACGCTGTCCATTTAAATCACAAAATGTCTAACAAGGTGATAGGTTCAGATAGTTTTAAACATAAGTATGAAAAAATAACTCAATGACTCTTGTACAAATCCATTTTTTAATGTTATTAAAGACACAATGTTTAAAAAGTCAGTAGAACTTTGCTTGTGCGCATAACAAATTTGCTCCCAATAGATTAGCAGCTGGAAATGATACAAATTTGCTTTAAGTAACATAAATGGGATATTAATCTCTCACCGACTAATCTCTCAAGGCCTCGTAGCACCTGTAGTTGCTGTCATATTCCTCCTTTGGCCGAGATAAAGTGGCTGTGATTGATTGGCAGGAGGTGCACGGCTTTGGAGAATCATATGTATTACGTAAATTGTATATTCAAGTGCTGGAAACACATTTGAAATTATCGCCAATTACCTTACATAACACAATGATTCCACATTGCAAATTGATTTCTGAAAAAATCCCTAACTCTGACTTGCGATTGTGGATTACAACATATGTTCATTTGTGTGGAAAACACTCAAGACAATAATCTTTTTAAATATTAAATCTTTTTAAAGAATCTTTTTAAAGATTTAAGAGGATGCATATGATCAATATAAGCATGTAGAACCATCGGCTACATGAAAAATGTTGAACTAAACTTCTGAATTGATGTAAACAACACTATATAGTGAAAGATTACTAAAAAAATAAGTTTATTAAGGAAATGCATATTTTACAGGAAAGATTGGTAAATTATCATTTTCTCTTTGGTCTTAGAATTTTGTGTTAACTTCAGCAATGGGAAACCCACAGCACAATAAGGAATGAAAAAACAATATTATCCCTTTAAATCATGAAAACTTTATTATGATCAGGTTATAATCTTAAAGTTAAAAGAGAAGCACTGATAAGTGTTTTATACAAGCATTCTCGTTAGTGAAGTGAAAAGGCTAGTGTTAACAACTGCCAAGCAGAGCTAACATACATTTAACAAGGATACTTTCTTAGCAGGCTTTCTCACCTCTGCATAACAGAGTATCTTGATAGTGTTTGTGTATTCCCTTATACGGTTAAAAACTAGGGCAACCAGCGCATGACTATGTTGAAATCCCCAAATTTTCAAGTGGGCTGTTGAGACAGCAGTGGAAATGCAAGTTAATGCATTTCTGGTTAACATTAAAATATATATTAACGCTGAACTACATTTCGTGGTCAGAACAAAGTAACACATAAAATTTGACATTGCTGTAACACATACCAGATACATCACAATTTGTTATCAAACACATCAAAAGCAAACACAAAATAAAAAAAAGGGACAAAATCATGTAAAAGTCTATGAACAGCAATCTTAGCAGTTGATATTTTGCATTTAAGTATTTTTCTTAAAGATACAGATTATCCAGTTGGGATTCTAAGCAAGTCCATTATACACTACAGTGTGGAGCTGCTTTTGAAAATGTTCTAATTGCACATTTTTTGTACTTTAAAATACTCTGATGCCCAATTAAGACTGTCTATTGACATATTTCTGACCACAAAGCGCCTTGAAGGCATAATCTCATTTGATCCACCAGTAAGACCATCATGGTATATTTAAGTCATAAAACAAATAAAATTTTGTTCTCTTTAGCATAAAATACGATCAATATTGCACAAGATGATGCATCTTTTTCATAAGCAACCAATGTCCCAAGGGCTCCCAATTCCATTCTCTGAAGTATTTAATGTAAATAAATTATGATGTATGTATTTCAAGTTTAAAAAGCCAACAAAGAGGAAGCTATATAATACTGTCGACATCTTTTTTCCCCTTGTCCTTTAATGAGTCTTCTCCCATAGTACCATATGGCAACGATAATTATATTGGAAAGGTTTGGCAAAGGTAACACAGACAAAGGAACAGATAAAATGACCCCCTTCCCCCACCACCTCCCATCCCAATTCAGTATGAAACATGCATCTCCACCACTTATCATGGCCGACTCCCATGTCATTCCTTACACCAGTCCCTTTGTTTTCATCAGCAGGCAAGACTGGAAGCTGCATATAGTCTTGTTGATTGACTGGAGCACACCTGGTTTGTGATAGGAACCAGAAAACTTCATTTTGTTCATAGTGACGGTCACACAGTGGTGGAGAAAGAATCCTGTTTCTGACTACCTGTGCAGACCTGTGGGTGGATAGTCTGACTGCAATGACCAGAAGATATTGTTCTGTCCTCGTCATCACTGTCTGAACTGTCTTCACTGTCTTTCTCAATAGTTTTCATTTGTACATTTCTGCTGTGGCTCTGAAAATGGTGTGGAACCTCCAAGAAATTACTGACTCTCATAGAATCGGTTACTAGATCTTCATCAGAGGAGTGGAATGAGTCATCATCTACCAAGTGGTTCACAATGTGGATTCCATCAAAAGTGGGTGGGCCTGAGAAGTTTCTCTGTCCTTTTAGGCACCTGATCTGTTGAAAGAAATAATTATTATTTTTCTTCTGATGTTCAGTACTTGCCCCAGCTAAACACATTTAACTCCATCCTACTGCAGCGTTCCTTTTCGTAAACGGCTGAAACAGATTGTCATCAAATCTACCATTTTTGCTACGATAGATTGAATGACATCAAAAATACTACATCCTCCTAACTGCAGTTTATTTCCATTCTGATATGCCCTAGCATTCAATTCAATATCAGATTTAGATTGATGATCATACTTACCAAGTAACTTTAACTATTTGTTACATTATTTGCCTTTGTTCTATTTTAAAATTTACATAAACCAATATAAATTTATTTTGGCTATACAGGCATATACATGTGATCTCCCCCCCCACCCCGATTAGGGATGGAGATAGATGCAAACAATCTAGCTGACATTTTGATATCACTTTCATCCTCAAATTTTCTGCCCAACTGCCTTAGCTGGTGATTTATTGATAAATGTGCAATGTAAATTGTTGTTGAGCCCTGGATTCTTTCTCGAAGGAGTGGCTTTGTGAACTGGCCAAGAACTTTCTTGTAATTTTTTTTTAAACATTATTTAAGATGATCACAACATCAGACCTTCAATAACATAAAAAAACACCCTTTTCAGTTTGCTGTGCATGCACAAGGCTCTAAAACCAAAGCTGTAAAATCATGCCCAATACGAAATGAGAAGTGAAAATAAACTTGCATCACTTTTCTATACTAATGGTATCAAAGAGTCTCAACTCCCATAAATGTAATTACATGAAAGTGAGATCTCACTTCTCCCTCTATTATTCATTATACTTTTCAAACAAGAAAACCTGAACCAAGTTAATAACGCATTTGCTTTGGAACCGAGTGTCCACACGTCTGATAATCAAACAATTCAGAAATGCAACTTAAACAACACTGAAAGTTCCAAACGCAAGTTGTATGAAATGTTTGCTAGCTGACTATGACAAAAACATAATTATACAGGAGATTTGGAAATAAATGTATGCAACAGTATCACTCATTGGTTAGGTATGGAAAGGTGATTTGAATTTTATGAAAGTACAAGACATAACCTATTCTACAAGGAAGCAGTTAGAAAGGGAAGTTATTAGTAAAGTGCAGAAAAATCAATTACTAGGGGTGCTATCCTGGAGATTTTTGAAAAAATCTATATCACGTGAGATGACTATTTACAAAATACATTAGCTTTTTTAAAAAAAAATACTCTAACGAACGTACAAAAGTACAAATCTTCTTTGGGAGATTGAAGAATAAACACGAACATGATTGCAAAGAAAAAAATTGGCAAAACGTTCAGCTTTTTAATCCTACAAAGGCCTGCATATAACAACACAATTAAGAATTTATGCAAACGCATTGTTGTTGAAATCAAATAAAAAGATTTAATGTTTCACAGCGGAATAAGTGCATAAATTAACCATTCTAGACCAGCATCAAAAAAAAACTTAGAATGCAGTGCGATGAGAATGATTAGATTCTTGTCAGAGAAGGGTTTTCACTCATACAAATAAAAGGGAGGACATGGATTGCACCAGTTAGCAATGGATTGGGGACATACACCATTACTTACCTGAAGGAGACTGCCAATCAGTTGTGCATGTGATCGAAAGAGGGAGTAAAAAGACATTAATTTAGAAGACAAAACACTATCCATACCACTGTGCTAAAGAGTCAATAAAGTTAAGCAGGGACAATGTTCTTGAATAAAGAACTTCATATATAAAGGTGCATCGATCTACTGAAACAGCAGGGCATAACAGTAATGTGTGCTCATGTTTAAGTGTAAAGACGTCTACTGATAAACACGATTAAACTAGTTTTACACAAACCTAGTTAGATAGGATTGATACATTTTCCCATCTGCTCTTCTCTTGAAGGTGGTGACTCATGGAGGGCTACAGTGCTTTTCCAGTACCTCACCAAAATGAATGTTCTTCAAATGTGAGCTCAGGCAGCGAGTGCCATTTGACATGGACACAACTGAGCCAAATTCTGTCTTAACCAAAACCTTCACCAGTTCATTTCCAACAGGAATCACTAGATAATTTGTTTTCATCCTTCTCCATTACTTTCCCATTACCAGTGTCCCATGCAATTTCAATTCTGTTCTTCCAGTAGTATTTAATACATTGGCTAAATAAATTTGATCTTTTTTAACAATTTCACAACAAATAATGTTTAAAAAATTCAAAGTATTTCTATTATTCACTGATGCCTTGCGTGCCTGAAAAAGTTGTTTTTTCTTCCAGTGTGCAGCTTTCCCCTTCCAGATTGTCTGGAATTGCATTAAAGAGTAAAAAATAGGAGAAATGGGTAGGTTCAAGCACTGAGTTTTGGGTGAACTGTCCCAAACAAATGTTTTTTTTGTTTTTTTAGGAACCCCTTCTTTACACACTTAAAGGCGGTTTCAGGGAACTGAAGTGTTGTGTTGTATGACATATTATAGATTGTGTAATTTAGGAGTTTGAACTCACAAAGCACCACATGCTGTAGAAGGAGGCAAATGTGAGAGAAGATAACCCCAAACCCTACCTCAACATTGACCAATCTAACTGATAAAGAGGCCTGACCAGGATGAATCTGCATGTGTCCACTTCTGCTTGATAGATTTCATATTGCAAGAGAGGAAGTGGAGAGGACCATGAGTAGAAAACAAGTACGCCATAGATTAAATCTTAAGAGAAATCTTTGGCACAGTCATCAATTCCTGAGTGAGCTTCTCTAACTTTCAAAGTAGATTTTGCCTCTCTTTTCACTGCAAAACATCTCTGAAAACATACTGCAAACTGAAAACATAGTGTCAGTGGAAAAGTTCCGGTCATGAAAAGTGATAGGCAAAGTTTGAGGTAAATAAGAAAACTGACTGGCAGCAAATTTGCCATGAAGCCACTTGAGACTTTGCTGAAACTTGCAGAAAAATAAAATGCTTTTCAGATGTGGCACGGGAAGAAAAAAATCTCACTTACAGAAAAATAAATTTAATAACTGATTCAGATAATTGAAAAATTAATTGAATATCAACAAACACCATGACATGAGAAACAGAAGAAGGATCTTTGATGAGCCCTAGATTTCCATTGGTAGCATATCAGATTCTTAACCTGACATTGTTACAGTGAGCTAAGGGTTCAAGGCCCTGTTCTGCACTCTAATTTAATGGAACAGATTTGAGGGGCTGAACGGCTTCCTACTGTTCATATCTACTCAATTAGACAAAAGGTAATCTGTTCCATTGTGATCCCTGCTCTATGTAATCTAGTCCTAAAGGAGCAGGGTCCCGAACAGTTTCCTGATAGAGTTTGCTGATGTGAGATACAAACTATGAGTGTCAAGTGGAAGAGTCATGTTATTTGTTTGTGGGACATTGCTGTGCGCAATTGGCTGCCGCGTTCGCCCACAAATATACAGTCAATTCACTTTACAGTGTGTTCTGTGAAGCGCTTTGGGACGTCCTCCCGACGTGAAAAGCGCTATATCAAATGCAAGGATTATTATTATTATTATTATAAGAGAACAAATAATATTACCGGTAAGATTTTTTTTAAGGTTTTCGGCATGAGATGATTTCCTTATTTCTTCTAACCAATTAATACAAAAATATCTAAATGGAACCGTATTAGCAGCTCATTGTAATATTAAGAAAAAATGGATCCATACTATTTTGTGACTGGATGAAGGACATTACTCCCTCTTTCTGCTGCTAGGCCAGAATACACTTTGTATAAATTTAGAAAAAAACTATGTTTTGAAGGGCATTACAAACCATCGGGTGCAACAATCTCTATGCTTGCAATTATTATTATTATTATTCTTTAGTATACAATTTGAGTGAGAACACTGCCACTGGATTTGATATCTTGCATTGCACTGCTACGCATTTCTGTAGTTTCACATCGTGTGAATTTTTAAAAAAAAGATTATTGGCATGGGTTACAGGAAGCGCATTTTACTGAAAAGTGGACAGAGTGCATAGGTTACATCTGAAAGAAGCATACAATACAATGGATCTCATATGCCTAACCTCATATTCCTAATTTCAGGTCTAGATATTAATGCTTAAATCAGGCAACTAGAATTATTACATCTACTGAGTATCTATCATCCATGATCTGAAGAATCTTAATAAGCATTTAATGGGCTACAAAGAGCGACAAAATCTGCTCAAGTGTAAACGTGACAAAAATTAGCTATGTGAAGAACCTGAAACCAGAAGGCTTCCAGTGAATCAGAACCGGAAACCAGAATAAAGCACACTTTGATAGGTCATGACTTCTTGATAACTGTAAAATAGAAAACCATGATTTGAGTCCACTGGCTACTCTGCAACATAAAAGGTTAGGTGATTGAAGTCTTAAGTTGAAAAAGCTTTCAAAGCATAACCACGAGTTCTCTATTTGACGTTCACCTGTGTGTGACCTTGATTTGCATCACCAAAGCCCTCACATTTGAACAGGAATGATTAGAAATTAGATTTTAAGTTTTTTTCTCATCAAGTTAACCACCCTAAAACTGTGCCAATTTGATGGACTTGCATTCTACCAATTATCAACTGAAAGCAAACGTATAAGGAATAGAATTTCCACAAAGTCCTATCAATAATGGAGTTTGGAGACTCTGGCAACATTACATGTCATTGGCAAAGGAGGAAGTACTGGCTTGAAATCACCGCCTTAGTCAATGCTGTCAGTATCACCAGAATATCCTGCCTTAGGTGAGAAGGGCATTTAACCAGCTGGAGACAAGTGCAAAGGTAAGATCAGGAGATGCTACTGTATATTGCACCAGTTGCAAGTTAACCAAAATCATTGCATCGCTCCCTCGGAATGAAGATGGCCAGAATGTTTAAACATATGATTGAGAACTGTGCATGCTTGGTTCTCAGAAGATGAAGGTATGGTGCTAAGAAGGAAGTAGTGTAGGGAATAGCTGGAGGACCATACCTTGCCCAAACTTTGACTTTGGCAAAGGCCTCCCTTCCCCA